GGACCAAGGGCCAGCTGCGGGGCGCGCGGCCAATAAGGGAGTTGCGGCCGGACGCGTTACCGAGAGGAAGCGGAGCGGTACGGGGAATGCCCGCCCTCTGGGCCCAGCGCTTGGGCGGGTTAGGACCACGGGAACGTCTCGAGCGACACTGGGGTCGCGAGGTTATCCGGCGGTGCCCCACGCCGCCCCGCCACCCCGCGGTGTCTGTGCACGCCGTGATCAGAAAACTGTTGCCGGGGACTAGCTGCAACACTGGTTCCGCAGAAGGACTGGGCCTTGTGGTCTGCTTAGGCGCGGTGGACAGGTTCTCGCGTGGAGCTGCAAACGACACCGCTCTGCGTCGGCCACTGGATAGCCTCAGAACCGGCCGGGACTTGGCGGAGCGTCGCAGTTTGTTTGAACCGAAGACTCAAGCCTCCCTGAGCTTGTCAGTGGGGAAACAGGCCCTGGGCGGGATGGGTTGCCCAGAGCCGCTCATGAATACAGGGGCTGAAGGAGAGGCCTCAGGCCTAGAAAAGGGGCAAGGATCTGCGCCACAACTGAGAGCATCTCAAGCAAGAGTGGAGGGCTGCCTGCTTTCGTTGTTCCAACGGGTAGGGACATTTAAAGAGGCAGCAGGCCCTGGTCTCCTCTAACCAATGAAACTCTTTCTATGGAGGGAAGTTGCCCTAAGTGGGACCAAGAGTGAGCTCTTCTTTTAGCTCTTGGTTGGCAGGTCGCCCTAGTGACGACTGACCATAAAGCTGGCTTAGTTGGTGCATAACCTGGCAGCCCCAGGAGCAGCCCACGATTGACCTGTCCCCAGTGGAGTGCCCCTCCTGAGGGTAGGACTTGCAGGCTGGAGAGTTTTGTGACATAAGTTGTTGGTACCTGCTACAGAAGTTCATAATTGGGGACCGATAGCTCCTACTGCTGCCAAAAATAAAGGCACAACAGAAAACTATGAAAAAGCCTTACCATTTTCAGTCCTAGGACCAATGTGAATACAATACACATTGCCTTGTTTTTGTTTTTGTTTTTTGTTTTTTGTTTTTCACATGCTCAATTTACAGATAAGGAATCTGGGATTTCTGAGGTTTAGGGACTTGGTAGGGTCTCCCAGAAATCCCTGAAGAATGGAGATTAGTGCTCCTACACATGACTCAACAGTGGTAACAGGAGCATGGAGACCCAAAGTCACCTCCTGGCCCAGCCAGACCAACTAAAGAGTGAGCCATGGCTGTGTGTTCTGTGAAGTGGGATTAAGAATAATGTGTGTGTCATAGGTCCCATTGGGGAGCTTGGATACTGCTGAGACTGTGTCCTGCATGGATACTGAAATAACTGCCTTCTTGTCAACCAAGGCCCATCCTGCTATGCCTACAACCACTCCAGGGCCAGGCAGAGTCCTTAACACGAAATCAGCACCAAGGTTCTCCCGGTTAGTCTGAAGCGTTCCGCTGCTATGCAGGGTGAAGCAGGGTGCCCAACTAGCAGGAGAAGCAGGGTACATTCCGGGCCCTGAGGACCTGGGGCTCATTACTAGCTTAGGTGAGCATTTTGCAAAGTTGCGGGGAGATTTTTGCAAAGTGGCTCCTTTCCTGCTTTGGCTACCCAATGGGTTGCTGCCCATAGTCCTAAAGATGGCATTTAGCCTAGTGTGAGTAGTATGCTGGGCAAAGTGGCCTCCCTTTCCTGCCATGGGTTGTGAGGTTGGTTCACTGCCACAGTGTGCAGTATAGGTGCCCAGCCTAAGAGATTTTTAGCCTTGACCTGGGCTATTTCAGTCGACCTCTCCCTGCCCCATCCCTGCCAGCCACACCCAAGGACTGAGCACTTCCCTGATGCCAAAGGCCTCCACTGATCTGGTAAGGCTGAGCATGGGTGCCACCACCCAGGTGGAATACACGGGAACCAACCAGGGAAGTGGCCCAGGGTTGACTGGGTGAGCAAGGAACTGGGAAGACCAAGGACCTGGCTTGGGTGGAGGCATTTGGGTTGAAGGTCAGGGGGCAGCAGGGGAGGAACCGAGGGGTGGACAGCAGAGCCAGGAGGGAAGGGGAAAGGAGGGGGCTGGAGGTAGCTGTGAGGCAGTTTCTGGAGCTCACGTTGGCCAGGGAAGGATGACTTCTGGTGGCTGGAGCCCCTCCAGAGGAGATCGAGAAGCCTCTGTACCCCTCTGGGGATATTGGTGGGATCACTGGTCCCACCCAGGTCTCCAACTCCATATCAACATATCTCCTCCCAAGATGGGTAGAGAGGCACTGTGCGTCAGCGCTGGTGGGAACAGGCGGCCACTGAGCCCCAAAGGTGGTTGGGGAGGAGGAGGACACAGTGGGGGCACAGACTGGGCACCAGACCTGAGCCAGTAGGGGGCAGACTGCCCCAGGCTCCCTTCCTTAGGACAGGTCTCCAGCAGGGCTGGAGCCTTCCCTGCACACAGGGTGGGCCAGGTGCCTCTTAGCTCATTTACTCCTAGCCCTTCCCCACCCCTACTCCAGAGCTGGGGCCTGTCCAGTGGGAGCCAGTGAAGTCTGGGAAGGAGTGGGTAGTATCTTTGGCCTCTTCTCTCTGGAGGCCAGTACCCCAAATGTGATCTGGGAGGACCTCTCCACCATATCCCTGAGCCTCCCTATACGATCCCAGGCCCCCAGGGGTCCTCCACCATGCAGTCTGCCTGGACCAGCCCACATTTCCTTGTTCCATCCTCTTAGTTTCCAGTTCAGTCTTGGGCTCTCCCTGGATTGTGCTCCCTCACCGACATTTAGGGGAGCCCAGTATGCTCCACTCCACTCCAGCCAGGAGCCCCAGGAAAAAAGGCAAGCTTTGAATCCTGATGAGTCTTCCCCAGTTTTGAGTAGAAGGCCAGGACTGGCTAGTCTTCAGTTAGCCTGGTCTTCCTGGGCTTTTTCCCCTCACCCCACCTCGAGACTCAGCTTCCCTAGCTATACAGTGAGGATGATAGTACCCACCCCTGCGGCATTTGTAGGACAGGATGAAGGATTCTTGGTCTAGCATGAGAAAGGTTGGCTTACCCACCCCATCCCATCCTGGGAGGGCTTCTAAGTACCTAAGATAGCCTGATGGAAAGAAATCTCTAAAAGACTGCTCTCAACCTTCCATTTACTGGGCCCTGGCTTCCTTTTTCTGAACCCGAATTCACCAACCTCCCATCACCTCCACACACACACACACACACACACACACACACACACACACCTACATAGATGCCTACACATGAACACACACAAAGGACACCCACACACACACACACACACACACACACACACACACACACACTGGGTTATGGCTATTCAGGGTATCTGAGGACCTCAAGACAGTACCAGGAAGCACTCATTCACATGCAGACACAGGTGGGAAGGTTAGTGAACATCCCCCCTACCCCCTCTCCAGAGACTCTCTCTCACACTTCCAGGATGATCTGGCCCTGACTCCACCTTTTCTCTCACCTTTGGCCTCCTCACTTACCAGGGTGGATTCCTTGCATGTAATGACTCCTTGGTCCCTAATGACAGCATTCTGAGCAGGAGGCTGCCCACCCACCTCCTCCTTGGCCCACTCTGTGGTGCCTGCCATAGCTCACAGCCTGCCTCTCCTGAGCCCCGGGAGGCAGCTGGTTCCCACAGCTCCCTGCAGGCAGGTTCTGGGTCTGGGATGGCCCGGGCTCATTAGCACAGGAGAGCCATAACTAGCCCAGCACATGCCTAGGCCCAAAAGCCTTGGCATCCCTGTACTGAGAGGCCTATGTGCCAGCACCAGAGGAGAATCCCATAGGGATTCCTGTCACTGGGTCCCTTCCTTGAAGTCACTCTGGATTCTAATCTGGCCCCGAGAAGTTAGCCAAGTCACTTAACCTCTCTGAGCTTCAGTTACCCATGCTATAAAATGGGGGTGACAGTTCCTGCATTTCAGGGTGATTCTATAAAGAATACATGTAAGCCCTTAGGTAGCAGCAGGCTGGGTACTTCTAAAAGAGTGTCCAGAAAGTGGTAGTAATAGGAATATTAGTCCCAACTCGGCAAGTGCTTCAAACTTGTGGCCCTGCCCACTTGGAAATCGAGCCTAGGGCATGTAGGGCCTGCCCAGTCACAACCAGTCAGTAACAGCCGGGGTTAGAACCTGGGGTGGAACTGTGGCCGCCCAGGCTGGCCAGCCACAGGCACCAGGCCAGGCCTCAGAGCATTTGGGGGCCTTCCAAAAAGTTTGACTCTCAGGAAAATAATGTCTCCAGAAGACAAAAAGAGGACAATAAAATAAAAATCCATGAAGATGTAATTAAATGTCTATGTAACCGAACATGTCCAACAGCAAAACAAAATTTCCTTTCAGAAACTTTTGCAGGAAATAAAAAGGTTGTGAGGGAGGGATGTGAGTATGAATTCAAGTACTTGCTGTGATGTCAGAGGTGACCTTCAAAATTGATAGAGCCAGGCCCAGCCTGACAATGGCCCAGCAGGACAGAGGGACCCAGCCTGGCCTTGCTGCAGCTCCAAGACCCCCGTGGCTATATAGGAGGTTGGGGGAAGATGAGCACAAGTTAAAAGAGCAGGTTTCCCTCGCACGTATTAGGGGCCCTGTGTAAAAATGTAATTTTTGAGGAGATACTGCTGTCTGAGAAGGCTCCTTGGAGAAGGTGGATCTAGTGGGCTGGAAGGAACCTCCAGGACTCTGAAGCATGGAGGTGGGCATTCTGAGTCTTGCCTGCCTCTCCTCAGTTCCCACTGCAGAGTCCAGAAAACAGGAAGAGCAAGAGGAGGGCCCAGGTAGGGGCACTAGGCTCACAGGCACCATAAAGCTGCCCCCCTCCAAGGTCTGACAGCCTCTACACCAACCTTAGTGGTGCGGGACATCCAGGTCGTCCCCCTTCTCCAGCTTCCCCAAGCCATTTGGGGCACCATTGCCTTGGTATGGGTTATTGCTGTGCCAGCCATGGGCCTCTCTGGACTCTCATCTGCAGGACCCAGAGGATAAGAGCCCGACCACTGGGTCTGGCTGTGTGGGAGCTTTGTTTGGACTTGGGGTGCGCAGCCGTAGTAGGACAACCTTTGTAGGGAAGCTCTCCAGTTGCCCATAGCACAAGCTGAACTCTTGAGAGCATTAGATGCTGAGAAGAGGCAGTGGGTGGGGTTCCCCCTGGTGGCCATTAAGAGCTACAGCCAGCCCTGGCTTGGGCCAGTAGAGGAGCCGGGAGGCTGCTGCCTTAAACCTGGCCCTCCCACTGGCCTCAGTCATATTCACCAACAAAGACACCAGTGGTCTTTCTCCGCCTCTCTTATATGCATGTCCCACGCTGTCCCAGGATCACCACCTATGTTCACGGTCTCTTTACCCCCACTTGGCCCAGGAATCCACACAGCTAGCTGGTGTGAGGTGGGGCAATCCCACTGCCATCTAGCTAGGCCCTGCTGTTGGCCTGGGAGCCTGTGGACAGGCTAGATGAGTCACAAGGGGGACGAGTAGCAGGAGCACCTCCAGAGGCGTGTGTGTGTGTGTGTGTGTGTGTGTGTGTGCACGTGTGGTAGCCTCTGGAGCTGGCTCTGTGGGGACTGAGCTGAGCCCATAGTGGGAGGGGAGGGACGGGTGGAACTTCCTCCCTACCTTGGTGCTGGTCCCCAAGGTCACCTCCTACTGAGTCCATTTAATACAGTGAGCTCTGGGGGTCCTGCCTAGGTCCTGGTCCTTTGACTTGCTGGCTTACCCTGGGCGGAGCTGTAGGCTGCATTTGACATCCTGTCTCTTGCTGGAAGGTGGGATGAGAGTAGGGAGTGCTAGTGAACACTGCCAGCCTCTTTCCCAGACCCCTGCATAGCTCAGAGAGAATGATGAGGACAGCCCTGTCTTCCTCCAGCTCTCAAGTCGAACTGAAGGGGTGCTCAGGGGCTAATAGAGTTCCCAAAGTGACCTCTGGGCACAATCGACTGGGGCCAGCCTTTTTCAGTACTCCTTATTTTACAGACATTTCTGCTTCTGCCCCCTGTGGGACCCTCCTAGAAGCCCACAATCCAGCTCTGATACTTACTGGTTTCTTTTTTTGTTTGCTATAGGACACATGCACTCACTGCAGAAAGAGACAGAGACAGAGAGATAAAATGTGAACGTTTCTCCCCTTCCCTGAGTGGTGGATGGCCTCTCTGCAATCCCTTCTCCTCCACTCCTCAATGACACACCCTCACACACACATCCGGTGTAGTTGTTCAAGCTGCTGGGTCTGGGACTCGAACTATGTAGTTGGCCATGTGGGATCCAGCCACCTTAACTACTACTCCACTAGCTGGTCCCTTATTGACCTCTTTGATCCTGCTCTGTCACAGGATTGTCATGAGGAGTAGAGGAGACAGCATGTAGGAAACTGAGAACACGGCAGTGATCAGAAAATGGTAGGAAAGACAACAGTGATGGTGACAATTGAGAAACTGAGGCTCAGGAAAGGCTGACCTGCACGAGATCCAGAAGCTGGCTTTCAAGATTGTGCTCTTGACACTCCTTTCCCCTGTTCAGGAAGTCCATTCTCTTCTGTTTCCAAAGGACCCAGCCCAGCTTAGAGGGAACCCTACATTATGAAACAGTTTCTCCCTTAACAGAAAATTAGTATGGTGGCTGCTTCTGCCTCTCACAGCCTTGCCCCCACTCTCAGGCCCCCTAGTGCCTACCTCCAAGGTACTGAGCACCCAAATCCCAAGGGCTTAGGCAGTAAGACCAGAGAAAGGCCTTATCATGGCAACCCTGGGTTAGGGTAGGCCTTCCTGCATTCTCTTTGGGGCAGTCCAGTCCAGAAGGCAGCCCCCCATGCTGCTGAGCTGTACAGCCATAAGACCAGAGCCTCAGAAGTTAGGTTAACACCCAGTGAGCCAAGAGCACTAACCCTGCCCCTTCCCACCTCCATAGACCAGGGAGCTGGGCAGGATGGTTAGGCTGTTGGGAGTCCAGAACTTGTACAGAGGTTGGGATGGAGCCTGCAGGGAGGCAGCAGGTAGCCATCACTCCCCTGGGGGCTGAGGGGAAGCCATGTCCTACCCTTCAACTGTCCCCAGAGTCCAGAAGCTCCAGCTTCCTAGAGGAGATTTCATGTTAGCACAAATACCATCACTTCTCTGAGAGGAAGAAGTTGGTGTTCGCAGAAGAAACAAGAGTGTCTGCAATCCTTAAATAGATTTATGGAAATGGTTTCGAATTACAGCATTTAGAAAATAAAAATAATCTCAATACATAATATTTTCTCCATTATATTATACTCTCCCTCCCCCCCCCAATAGAAGCCATTTTTGTGCATGTGTATTCCACTGTTAAACAGTAATTGGATTTTATCCTATAAAAGAAGCAGTAGGTGTGTGTCATCTTTCTAAAAATAAAACTTCAATCATCATTGCAATGTGAAGCCTGAGATTTAAGCCTGAGGAGGTGTCTGAGCTGGGGCCACAAGGCTGTCTCAGCCTGGGTCCCAGGCTGCTCCAGGGACTGAGGAAGTGTGCCAGGTTCCCAGGGGGTGCAGAGGCTTGTCACAGCCCATGGTGATCCTGGACTGCTAGGTGAGCTTGGGCCCAAAGACCTGAGAAGCCTCTGTGTGAGGGTCTCAGTGCCTGGCTGTCCCACCTGACCCCACCTCCCATCAGCAGGTGGACAATGGTGGATAGAAACCATGGACACCATGCTGGCCCCCAGGATCACTGGGTCGATTTCCCAAATTTTTTCCCCTCCAAGAAGAAATGAGAAGCATGTTGTTTAGCAGGGGTCTTGGGGCAGGGATTAGGGGGTGGGCACTGGGGAATGCAGTGGGCAGCTGTAGGAGAATGAACAGCCTGGGGTTTCTGGGGAGCCCTGCTGTGATGCTGGGGCCTGCAGAGCTGCCCCTTGCTTCTGCCTCCACACTTCTCCACAAAAGCGGAAGCTGCGGAGTGGCCCCGCTCCTGGGCCTACTCGCCATCTACCCCGCATACATAGAGGCAGGGCAGAGCTCCGTGGACAGGCAGGAGAACCCCAGCCCTGCCCAGCGAGGTACTCTGCACTGGAGTCAGTCACTAGGCAACCCGATTCCCCTGCAGGGCGGAAGCCGACCTCCGTCACCCGCTGCGGTTGACCTGGGATCCCCGTGGGTGGGGAGGCCAGGGTGGGTGGGACGGAGGCTCTGGATGTCCTGGAAGTCTGGAAGGCCCTGTGGCGGCAGCAGCAGCAGCAGTTTAATGAGGTGCAGAGTTCCTCCTGCAGCGCGACCTGGACGACTTCCTGGGAGTTCCCGGCTCCGGGCGCCGCGTCACATGCCCGCTTTGTCGCTGTAGAAGGGCGTGACGTGGAACATATAGCAGTGCGTGCACACGCGGACCGGCTTCACTTGCCCGTATCGAGGCTGCGGCGCCGAGTGGGACGAGCAGCGAGAGCAGAAGATCTGGAACCGGAGGATGAAGTGGATGAGTGGGGGTGGGGGCGGGGCCGTGGGCGGAGTCGGGCCGCAAACGGGGTGTGGCTGGGAGCTGGGCGGAGCCTCCACGGGCAGCCCTGGCGTTGGCTTCTTTCCCCTGCCTCTCCGCACATCCTCCGCCCAAACCAGGCAGGACATTAATAGGTGGGGGTCTGCCTGGCCCCTAGGCCCTTTGGGCTATGGAACTGGGACCTTCAGGAAACCCACTGCAGGTCCTGTTTAGACCGTCTGTCCCCTCCACCGCCTGAAGGGGCCAGGGCTGCAGGCTTCCTGGGCCCAATGCTCAGAGTCAGATTAGGACCAGGGATGCGGAGGGGCTTCTGCACGAGGACCTCAAAGGTCCTGCCAGCAGCCTAGGGCTCCTTGACTTCCAGACCCTGGTGCTATGCCCGTGTATGGGCACCCGCCCAGACGCTGTGGGGCCCACCTCCAGCTGACAAAGTTCCACCTACCTTCCCACAGCTGCGGCAGTGGTGCTTCCGGCGGATTACAGTGAAGGGTGCTTTGCATGCTGTGCAGAAGCCACAGGCCTCATCGGGCACCCACTCAGGTGGGTCTGTCACAGAGCCGAAGGACACATCAGCAACAGCGAGGGCAGGGGGCTGGGGGTGAGGTCAGAGCCTGGCGGGTGTGCGGGCACCCCTGACCCACTTTTCTTTCCTGCCCTGCCCACCCCCAACTTCGGTAACTGGCTGTGGCTTAAGGAGACTGACCATGTCACATGGACCGGTCACACTTCACTGCCACTGGCAGTGTCCAGCAATGGTACCACAGCTGCAGCCTGGGCCTCACCTCAGGTCACCCAGACTCTGGACCTGCATATCCTCCTGCATGACCTAGCCCAAGCCCTCTCTCTCAAGTTCTCTCTGTCAGTTCTGGTCAATCGAGTCAAGCCTATCTGCCCTCTTCCATCCTAGCCTCTCCCTGGGCCTCCAGGGACCCATGGGCCTGTTTTCATACCAGACACCAGCCTCTTGGGTAGTCCCTCCCCACAAATGTGCTGCAGTGCCCTCAGCCTACCTGCACCCCCCTTCTCTGCCAAGCTGCATGACTTCCCACCAGCCTCCAGATTAACTGGAGAGCAGGTCTTCTGCCTCTCACAGGACCATGAAGAAGGGTTCTGTGAACAGTCACCCCCTCCCAGATACCCCCCATGAAGAAGCCTTCCATGTCTTCTGTCTTCATGAAGGCTCCTGTGTTTCCCATACTACCCATAAAGGCTCCTGTGACTCTCACCCCCACCCCAAACCCAATGAAGAAGGCTATGTCCCTACCTCCCCATGAAGAAGCCTCCTGTCACTCCCCTATGGGGTCACCACAACTCCTAGAAGCTGCCATAGGAGGCCCTTCCTGGGGTGCCAGTGAAATGTTGGGGTGTTGGGTATGTCCTGTGCTGGGACCAGCCACCTCCAGCCTCAGCCACAGCCTGGACCCTGACTGTCTTTGCTCCCCACACCCTTTACCTTGTGCTCCCTAGGCTAAGAGACATTAAGCAACTGACCTGAGGACACGCAGGGTAAGGGGGCCTAGGTCCCCAACCCACTTATTTCTGGGAAAGAGGTAGAAACACCCAGAAAAAGCTCCTGTAACTCTCTCTCTCCTCACTAGCAGCATTTTGGCTCCGGCCCGGAGCTTCCCACGCACCTTCAAAGTCTCCATCGCGGGTCTTGGCTGCAAGTTCGGAGGATGACAGGGTCTCCTGGCACAATGCGCAGTCTTCCAAGGCCGCACTCCGCAGAGTCTGGGTGACTTAACGAGAAAGAGAAGTTGCTGGGATGAGGTGGACAGGGCAGTCAGTGCATGTAGTCACCTGTTCCCGGGGGCACACTGGGGTGCTACCAGCAAGGGCCAGCTGTGGAGTAAGTTGCCGTAGCAGGTTGGGTGCTGACCCTGGGCAAGGGTCTTCCCATCTGAGGGTCTCATCTATGCATGGTGGGGGGGTTCCAAGGCATGTGGCTATTCCTCTCCTGTGGGCATCCGACCCCATCCCCCTTCATTGTAATGAATGCAGTCAGAACACCTGGACTGTGACCTCGAGGCAGGCAGGGATTCTGCAGCTCAGCCTCCGAGTGCCCTGTCTAGGGCATGGCCCAAGGGGCTTTCTGCTCTTGTCTGCAGAGCTAGTCTATACCACTCACCTTTCCTGAATCAGGATTTCCAGCAGGCAGCGCAGCCAAGAATTTCCTGGCAGAATGCTGCCTGGTTGGTGAACTCTGGGGTGCAGAGCTAGATTAGCACACAGGCCTTCCCAGAACAGACGCCAGGTTCAGCACAAGGGGCTCCTGAGTATGCATAAGTCGAACTTGTTTTCCCACCCTAAGGCCCTCCAGGGACTGAGGCTCTACTCTGTGACTAATCAGTCCCTGCCCTGATGCCTTCTCCCTTACCAGATAACTGTCGTGGGTGTGTGAGCATGAATGTGAGTGTATGTGTGCACACGTGTATGTGTGCACATGTGTATGTGTGTATAGTATGTATATGTGTACAGGGTATGCATGTGAGTGGGCACTGTGCACATATGTGTGTGAGCATGTGCACATGTGTATGAATGTGGGTGGGAGAGCATGTTCATATACATGTGCCTATAATGTGCTGAGCATGTGCAAACATGTGAGGGAGATCATGGATGGCCCCAGACTCTGCCCCTCTACCATAAAGAGGGGGAGCTCAGGTCCCCTCCACTTGACTCTGGGCTGGCCTGACAAACAGAACGGGTAGAAGTGATGCTTGCTTGCAGCCTTTGTCTGCAGTAAGAAGACAGGCTGCCTTGCTGCAGCAGGTGTAGGAGGACAGGAGCCAGGTCCTGGCCCACCTGTAAAGTCATAGGGGGTGGAACACTTCTCTAAGCAGTTCCTGGGCCTGCAGCTGTGTGCCCCTTAGTCTCCTCCAGCAGACAGCCTGGCACATGTGGAATGTGGCAGTTCATGGAAATCTTGGGTAGCCTTGAAGGTGTAGTTTTTTTTTATGGGCATGGACACAGGGGCTGGCATGGACAATACTGTGGCCAACTGGGCACTCACCCTTCTTTAACTTTTCCTTGTCGTCTGTTTCTGGCTTGGTGGCCATGACCTCAAACAGCGTCTTGAGAATACTTCTGAGGTCACTTGCATAGTTCGTCTGCAGTTGGTCAGCCACACCTGAGGAAAGAGGACGAGGTAAAAGGAGCAAAAGAGTGGATAAGAGGGATGGGGTCAGGCTGAGTACACCTAGGCACTGCCACATGCCGGGTAGGACCTGACCACAGCTCATGGCCAAGACCAGCATGTCGTCAGACCATCGAGGGAAAGGGGAGGCTGTTGAGCCCCTTGAGGAATGATTCCTTTGACAGAGTGAAAACTGAGAAGTCAAGAGAAGGCAGGGAAAGGGATGAGAACTACTTAAATGGCCCTACCACAGGCAGTCTGTTACTTATATTCATGCATTTTATCCATGGGTCATAGCCATCACTACTAAGCAGTCCTGGCCACTCACTGAGGAACACTCACAAAGCTACCACACTGTGCCCACCCCCACAATGCCTATCACTGTTCCAGCAACTCTGGTGTCCATAAATTTCCCCTGCCAAGCCTGCCCGCCCCCTACACAACTTTCACCACAGGACAGCAATATGAACTTCAGAGCTGGGGAGCCCAGGTGACCCTGCCTGGAGGTAGGAACCAGTGCCTGGCCTTCTGCCCACTCCACCCTGTCCCACTCCCACCCCATCATCCCTGTGAAAATGGAGTTGTGCTAACCCTGTCTAGTGATTAAAAGAGCTGTATCCCACATGGATAAACATATGGTTTGAGTCCTGGGCCAGGCAGCTTGAAAAACGTGCCAGGCAAGTGTGCCCGAGTGCCCCGAATCTCAACAGAATGAAGAAACAAAGAGACTGTGGCATGACTATACCTCACTGGGAGCTTCTTTCTCCCTCTCCCTCTCTCTCTGTCTGTCTTTCTCTGGCAAGCACACATGCACCTTGACAAAAAAAAAATTTTTTTTAAGTAATCAAAATGGAGACACTTGTGTCAAACCCTAACCAAAAAATAAAGCCAGAGATCATGTATCTATGTTTCTTTTTTTAAAATTTAAGTTTATTTATTTACATTCATTCACTGTACATCATTACAGCATACAATATGAGATTTTCCATCCAGAGTGCACTGTGTATTGGCTCAATCAAGCACATCAACATACATGTTGTCGTCAACAAATAATTTTCCATTTCTTATTTCCTGTATGTTTTGCTTTTTTCTTCCATCCTTGATTCCCTATCTCTCACCCTCTGCCATCTCCAACTCTCCTCCCATACTGTCTCTGGTATCTATGTTTGCTTTCTATACTTCCCCCCCACACACACATTTTATTGAGTCACTAAAGATCCTAATTAATCTAGTATTTTCATAGCAAGCACAGCTGATATATACATTTTATGAACACAAGTCCAACTCTGAGCATAAGCCTCAGTGAGTAGAATGAACCTCCTATAAAGTAGCACCTACCTGGGGCTATATATCTTACTGCAGTCATCGAATAGGTATTTTTAATGCATTTTTTTTAAATTTCAAGAAAAACAGTTTTAGGTTTTTTTTCTGAACCTTTTCTTTTTTTTTTTTTTACTTAATTTACATTCATTCCCTAAGCCCCTAAGCATCATCACAGCATACAAAATGTGATTTCCCATCCAGAATATACTGCATACTGGCTTAATCATGCACGTTATCATCAAAATTTTTCCATTTCTAGTTTCTAGTATTTTTTTTTACCCCTATTTCTGTACCTCTGTCCTATCCTACTCTCTTCTCATACTTTCTCTGGTGTCTACAGTTGTCTTCCATTCCTTTCCCCCCACATTGTATTGATCACACAATTTCTTAAATAATCTAACTACTTTCAATAGAGAGTTCACTTGGTACTATTAAGAAAACCAGTTTTAACTTAAATCAAAGAAATGCTAAGGAACTTTGCTTAAAACTTAAAGCCAGGAAACAGGTTAGGATTCTGTTCAAATGGTAAGTACATGAACCTATCCATATCTCAAGACAGGACACAAATCCTTACAACCAAATAACAAAGTCTACAAGAAAATCAAGCAATGTTTTAGTCAAAAGTCACAAAATTGTACTTCACCCTTTCAGTCTCATATACTATATCTTCTGTTGTGGTTCGATTTTCCTGATTAAATTCTGGGATATAATATTCAACTCCAGACTTGTCCCTATAATTAAGTGGTTTTGGCCATTTTCTTAGTTTTTGAACTCTTATTTCTGTGTGTCTGTATTTAATTTTCCTGATATAGCACTCCCTTGAGAACTTCTTGGAGATCTGGTCTGGTGCTGGTAAATTCTTTCAGGTTTTGTTTATCTGAAAATGTTCTTGTCTTTTCTTCCCACATGAAAGATAATCTTGCCGGGTACAGTATTCTTGGCTGAAATTGCTTTTTTCTTAACACTTGAATATATTTCCTCATTCTTTCCTCACTCACATTGTTTCCAATGTGAGGTTTGCTGTTAGCCTGATGAGATATCCTTTGTAGGTAACTTGATTTTTTTTTTTTTTTTTTGAGAGATTTTCGCTATAGGGCGCGGGTGCTTGCCAGACAGACAGAGAGAGACATAGAGATAGAAAGCGAGAAATCACCCCCCAGGGGGGATGATCACACCGCAATCCCTTCTCCTCCATTCTCCTCTCGGGATCTTGGGCACGCACGCACACGCACCCGGCGTGAGTTTTAAGCCACCGGGTCCAGGACGCGAACCATGGTCGACTACGTGGGAGTCCAGCGACATAGCCATTACGCTAACTGCTGGTTCCCGTAACTTGATGTTTTTCTCTTGCCAATCTTAGTATCTTGTCTTTGTCTGTGGTTTTGGCCAACCTGGCTATAATGTGTCTTGGAGACGATCTTCTTGGGTTGATTCTATTTGGGGTTCTTTGTATTTCTTGGGACTGTATCTTTGAATGCCTCTCTAGGTTCGGAAAGTTTTCTTGCAGGATTTCATGGGATAGATTATCAATGTCCTTATGGGTCTCTTCACCTTCTGGGATGCCAGTTATCCGGATGTTTGGACGTTTGATGGTATCTAGTATTTCTTGTATATTATTCTCATTTTGGGGGACAATTTTCTCAGTCTTTGTGGTGGATTTTCCTAGGTCAGCAATTTTCTCTCCTATGTCTGAGATTCTATTTTCTGTATGATCTAGTCTGCTTTTAATACTTTCAAGGGAGATTTTGACCTCCTGTATTATAGCCTTCATCTCTAACAGTTCCGTTTGATTCTTTTTTAAAGTATGCAATTCCTCTTTTAGATCTTGCAAGAATTTCCTCACCTCCTGGAACTCATCAGCTTCTGTCTCCTTTCTCTTTTGCAGTTCATTGTCTCTCTTCTCTTCCATCTCTGTTAGCTTCGCCATTATGAACGTTCCAAATTCTTTATCAGACATTTCCATGATTTCCATTGAACTGCTTGAGGATGAAGAGGAGTTATTCTTTTCCCTCGGAGGAGAGGTATTTTCTTGCTTTCCATATTTCTTGTGATCCTGCGGTGATTTCTATTCATCTGATGGTTGGTGTGTTTTTTCCTATTTCTTGAACTTCAATTAGAACATTCAGGAGCAAGCAGAAAGAGGTGATCTGGAATCTCTTTGCCATTCTGTTGTGATCACACTCTAGCTTGTTTGCTGGAGGCCGAATTATCAGTAGGAAATCTTCATTTCTCTTTTACCCTGCAATCACTAGTTCACCTGTATCTATGTTTCTGATAAGAACTATTATAAATTATGTTATACATACATGCCTGTAATACTTTTGCCAAGGATTCTTTTTTTCTTGAGGTTTTTGCCTTAGGGTGCATGTGTTCCTTGGAGAGAAAGACAGAGATAATGAGAAGGAAAGTGAAAAATCACTCCCCAGGGGCATGGCCATGCAATAATCCATTCTCCTCCATTTTTCTCCTGGGATTTTGGGCACACACACACACACACACACACACACACACACACGTGCCGAGAATGATTTTCAAGCTGAGTCTGGGATTGAACTGTTATCAGTCATATGGGAGTCCAGCAATGTAACTGCTACACCATCTGCTGGCCCCACCAAGGACTTTCTAAATTGCACTGCAACTTGCCAAATGAATCACAAGAACCGTAGCCGGATGTAGCATACTTGCCAGATACACTGTCTCCACTAATGAACTGGCACAACTCCTACAATAACTCCTGGCACCAATGTTCTCTTTGTTTCAAAACAAATTATGTACACAGTACTTCTGTCTTCCCTTTAAAGCCTTACCTCAGCCTCCTCCAATATGCCTGTGGTCTCCATAGCCCGCATATGCCAGGTTAGCGAATCCCTTTCACACTCCTGAATAAACTCATTATCTTTGAAGAATCTCTGTTTATTGTTCAGGTTGACACTCCCAGGAAGAAAACACTTGCCCCCCACCACCACCTGCAGAGATCTCTTCCCTCCTCCTTCCTGTATCATTTAGATCTAGTCAGTCTGGAAAGGAATACTCTCTCTGTGGGGAAGCAGACCAGGCTGCCATTTACAGCAGAGGGAGTGCGGGTAGGGGTTATGCACAAGCCGCCAGATCTCCTCTCCCCTAAGGCCCATCCCTGTGTGTCCTCAAGCCCACCCACCCATCCTGGGCACGGCATCACACCTGAGATGCAGACAAACAGGCGATGGATCAGGTCGTGGCTGCCATGGAACCTGGACCGGATCTTCTCTCTTGTGGCCACAGGGGAGACATGCATTGCTGTTGCGGTTGCTTCCAGCCCAGTCTTGTCTGAAGAGCAGGAAGCAGCTGTGGAGCCACTGCACAGAGGAGATACAGGGTGTGTGGGTGAGGGACATGGCACGAGACTTTTGGAGCCTGAAAGTCAGTAGGTCAAGACAAAAATCTGTCCTCATAAACTCCCACTCCATGGGAGTTGAGTTTCCCAGATATACAGAAGACTTCAAAAAGTCTGTGGAAAAATAGAATTAGAAAATGAGTTTATTTTGGTGCAAAAATCCTTTTTAATCCACGCATAGTTTTTTCATAGTATACACTTTTTTTTTTTTTGAGAGGTTTTTGCTATAGGGCACGTGTGCTCGCCAGAAAGACAGAGAGAGACAGAGAGACATAAAGCAAGAAATCACCTCCCGGGGGGATGGCCATGCCGCAATCCCTTCTCCTCCATTCTCCTCTCAGGATCTTGGGCACACATGCACACATGCACACATGCCTGACATGAGTTTAAGCTAGTGGGTCCGGGACTTGAACTGCGGTCTACTACATGGGAGTCCAGCAACATAGCCGTTATGCCAACTGTTGGTCCCCATAGTATACACTTTCTACAAATGTTTTGAAGATCCCTTGTACAAATTTCCTAAAACTTAACTTTAAAATGTCATCAAGGTGGGACCGGCAATTAGTGTAATGGCTGTCACTAGACTCCCATGTAGTCAACCATGGTTTGACTCCCGGACCCAGTGGCTTGAACTCACACTGGGCGCCTGTGCACGTGTGCCCAAGATCCCTAAAGGAGAATGGAGGAGAAGGGATTGCGGCATGGCCATCCCCCCCAGGGGGTGATTTCTTGCTTTCTATCTTTCTGTCTTTCTGGCGAGCTCACGCACCCTATAGCAAAAACCTCTCCAAAAAAAGAAAAAAGTCATCAAGGTAATAGATGTGCATCATTTAAGAGGCAGGTGGTATAACAGGGCCCTTTCCTTGTGCTTGGCCTTTGGTTTCAGCTGCCCTGAAGAAATAACTTCCAGATCTTTCTGCTGGGTCTCCTGGTAGTGACACCTGGTACTGACTCACAAGTTTAACTTGCTCCTTTTTTCTTTCTTTTTTTTTTCTTAAAGACAAGTTCTTGTCACAATCCTCCTACCTTAATTTCCTAGCTGGGGACTACAGGCATGTGCCACCACACTTGCTCCCAGCCCCCACTGCTTTTTAATTGCTGGAGGATGCAACTTGCCAGAGAGAGAGAGAGAGAGAGAGCACCTCCCAATGGGGCATTGTTCTTTTTTCTCCATTTCTCCATCCCCTCAGGATTTGGGGTATGGATGCACACATGCCAGCATGCTTTTCAAGCTAATGGGGCAAGGACTCAAACCTTGGCTGCCCATGTGGAAACTGGCTTCCTTAGCATAGCACTTATTCACTGCACTACAGTGTGACCCACACTTTTTTTTTTTTCCTAAAGGGTACATGAGCTTGCCAGAGAGAGACAGAACGGGAGAGGAGAAAGCACCCACATGAGGAATGGTCTTGCCACAATCCCTTCTCCTCCATCTTTCCCCCCTTTCAGGATTTTGGACATGCATGCACACACACCTGGCATGCTTCTCAAGCTGCCAGGTTCAGAACTCGAACTGTGTGGTTGGCCATGTGGGATCCAGCTGCCTTAATCACCGGGCCACAAAGCTGATCCATAGTTCTTTTTTAGATAGGGCCTTGGCTTGTTACCCAGGCCAGCCACAAACTTGGAATCCTCCTGCCTCAGCCTCCCTAAATCATTGGCATTGCAGGCACACACCGCCACCCCTGGCCTTTAGGTCAAACCTGAAATGGAAACCAAGCCTGCTGTGTGGCCCCAGCCTGCAAAGGACGCATCTTAGTAGCACACAGCACTGCTCCTGGGCCACAGGCTACTCATTTTGCATTCCTGGTTGAATACTATCTACTGATTTCTTCCAATGGAAGAGTTAACTTACCTCTCATAGCAACGGCAGTGGGCTGAACGGCAGAGTGCAAAAATGATAGGTTCACGCTCTAATCCCCGGAACCTATGACCTTAATTGGATAGGTCTTTGCAGACGTGATTAAGTGAAAGATTTTGGTCCCTCTTTTTTCTCTTATAAGGGACACTTGTTGTTGGATTTAGGGCCCGTGTGGATAATCCAAGCAGCTGTATCCACAGTTGTGATTATATTTGCTCTTCAGAAATTACATTGTGACTACATAAATAGCATTTGTAGTTACACCTGGACTCAGGTGGACACCTCACCCACCTCTATAGTGCATTCACTGGCTCTCTGATTTTAAATTAATCAATCTCTACTCTTTCATTTCTTCATCTTTTTGTCTCACTTTCTGGGACATTTTAACTTTTTTTTTCAATTTTACTATTGACATTTTAATTTTTGCTATCAGATTTTTAATTTCCTGCTCTTACTGTTTGCACATAGGTTCAAAATCCAATTGTAATTTTTTTAAGTTGCCATCACTGGCCTGTGCTGTCTCTTTTCCCTTGTGTGTGTGTTGTGGGGGGGAGGGTTTGGCTGCTTCATCTGTTTGGCCTGTTTCTCATGCTGCAGGCTTGCCTAAAATGTTCAAGTCCATGGCTACCTGTCCTTGTGTAAGAGGAAGGTGCTAACAGGCTGCCTGGTATGGATGAAACGGTAAGAATGTACACATTGCTGCTGAGAGTGCAAATCAGTGCGACAACTTTGGAGAAATAATTTGGCACCATCTTCCTAAACCTGCAGCCTCCCTTCCCCACAACCCTACTGAAAAATCTTGTTCTTTTATGTCTTCAGACAAGGCAGAATCTTGGAGGCAGTGTTAGATGTTCAGGAAGAAACTGGAAACAAGCCCAAGTTGGTGAGTGATAGGACAGAAAATTGACAGTGATCTAATCACACATGGGCAGAGATTACTAAGGCGGAAGTAAGGCAGCCCCTGTCTCTCGCTGACAGGAGTGAATCTCACAGACTGCATGAGCCCCTTCGCACACAGTGGAGAACGTGCAGCCTGTCCAATATCTTATTTAGGGATGCATCCTCGTGATGTAAAGCCATTCAGAAGCACAAAGGTGTAATGCACGAGAATTCAGGACACTGACCTACTTCTGTAGAAAGGGAGGTTGGGGCTGAAAGAGGTCCAGAGCCTCACAGGTCCCCTTCCTTTAGTGGGACAGGGGGTGGTGCATGAGTGTATATTTTATCATTATGTAATGAACAGTCATTGGCACATGAAGAAGAAATGAGAGGCTTGAGGAGGTGGGTGATGGCATTCCAGTCCATGGGACTAGATCCTCTGCTGGAACCCCTGTGATGTTCTGCAGCTCTTGCTTCCCAGGTGGCCCAGTTTCCACAGAGCCAGAGCCCCTGACCTTCAGTCTGGGAGTTTCAGCTTCCTGGGAGCTATGTAAAGAAAAGGGTCAGGGCCTTCATTGTCTGGGATGTCAACTTCCATCAATATGCACTTCTGCAATGGATAGCTTCACCCAAAAGAATGGAAAGCAGGGACTCAAACAGCTATTTGTATGCCCAAGTTCGTAGCAGCATTATCCACAATAGCCAAGTGTTCATTGACAGATAAATGGATACACAAAATGTGGAATATCCATACAATAGAATATTATTCAGCCTTAAAAAGAAAGTAAATTCTAGGGCCAGCAGATGGCGTAGTGGTTACGTCACTGGACTCCCACATGACTGACCACAGTTTGAATCCTGGACCCAGTGGCTTAAAAAAAATCATTCTGGGTGTGTGTGTGTGTGTGTGTGTGTGTGTGTGTGTGCTCAAGATGCCAGGAGGAGGATGGAGGAGAAGGGATTGCAATGTAGCCATCCCCCTGGAGGGTCAGGGTGATTTCTTGTTTTCCCTCTCACTGTCTCTGTCTCTCTCTCCCTGAGTGCAAGTGCCCTATGGCAAACACCTCTAAAAAAAAAGAAATTCTGACAAATGCTACAATATGGATGAACCATGAAGACACTGTGCGCAGTAAAATAAGCCAGAGACAAAGGATACATGCATGATTCCACTTGTACGAGATAACTAGAGTAGTCAAATTCATAGAGTCAGAAAGTGACTGGTGGTTGCTAGGATGAGGTGGGGGGAAACTGGGAGTTAGTATTTAATCAGGACAGAGCTTCAGTTTGGGAAGATAAAAAAAATTCTTAGATGGATGGTGGTGATTGATACACAAAAATTAATAACACTGAACTGTAAACTTAAAATGGTTAAAACAGTAAACTTTATGTATGTATTTTATTTTAAAAATGGGATGGGAAAGAGCAGGAAAAAAATCTAAGGAGACATATATATAAAAAAAGAGGGCCAGATTAGTTTGGCACTGAACACAAAAGGGTATATATATTGGGACCAGCAGATGGCGGAATGGTTACATTGCTGGACTCCCACATAGTCGATGGTTTGAGTCCCAGAGCTAGCAGCTTAAAACTCACACTGGGTGTGCATATGCGTGCTTGCCCAAAATTCTGAGAGGAACTGGAGGAGAAGGGATTGCAGCGTGGCCATCCCCCCTGTGGGGGGTGATTTCTCACTTTCTGTCTCTCTGCCTCTCTCCATCTCTCTATAGCAAAAACTTCACTTATAAAAGAGTGTCTATATACTAAAAACCATTGAGCTGTACACTTAAAAAGGGCAAAATTTATGGTATGTATATTATATATTAATAAAGTTTTTAAGTCATTTTATTACATACAGTAGCAAGAAATTGAAAGTGAAGTTAAGAAAACAACACCATATACAACAGCATCAAAAATATTAAAATGTTTGAAATAAATTTAACAAAAGGAGTGAAAGAGTCACACACTGAAAACTATAAAACATTGTTGAAAGAAAGAGGATCTAAGTAAATGGAAAGACATCTTGGGTTCTCAGAAGAAAGACTTGCTAAGATGGCAGTACTGTCCACATTGATCCACAGATTCAACGCAATCCATATTGAAATGTCAGCCGTGGACCTGGCCGTGATGGCGTGGACAGTGGGGGCAGCACTGCCTGGTGCTGGAGTCTTGGGCACGCCCACCATCCTTGCTACATCCCCTCCCTCAGAAGGTAAACTCTGAAG